CGCTTTCTGTCTCTATGTCTCTCTCTGTCTGTCTGGCGAGTGCACGTGCCCTATAGCAAAAACCTCTCCGAAAAAAAAGATAATTCTGTATGCAATTCTCCTTTTTTCTTGCCAGAGAAATAGAGAGGTAGAAACCATCCCTTCCCAATGGGGTATGGTCACACTGTAATTCCTTCTCCTCCATTTCTCTCTTACTGGGATTTGGGATATGCATGTACATGTACTCAGAATATTTTTTATGCAGCTGGGGCTGGGATTTGAACTGTGACTGGCCTTGTGGGATTCCACTCCTTAACCACTAAACTATGGAGCTGGCATCTGCGATTTTCTATCAATACCATTTAAAAAATCTAAAAGGAAATGATTTTTCTGAAAAAATATAAATTGTGAAAACTGGTCAAAAGTTTGCATACACTAATTCCTACTGAGAAAAATCTATTTCCACAATGGTAAAATTATGGGAGAGTTTTAATAAATTTTTTAATGATCAGATAATTGGGATTTTATAAAAACCATTCTGGAGCACAGAAAAACTCACAATCTTCCTATTTTATAGCAGCATATATATTAGAGTAAAATTGAGCAAGAATGGTGAAAAAACAGAAAAGTGTTAGTGTCACAAGAGATTTAAAATTACTAAGTGAAATAACAAATAAAAAATGTCAGCCCATTAAAAAAAATAACATTATGACCAAGTAGGGTTTATCCCAGGACAATCTGATTCGATACTAGAAAATCTAATGACATTAATGGCATAATCCACTATATTACTGGATTAATACATAATCATCTCTGCAGGTGAAGGGAATGCATTTTATAAAATTTAACATGTACACTCATAAATTTCAAAGTAATCTGAGTATAAACCTGAATCTAAAGTAAATGTTTATATAATGGTGAAATATACAAAGTCTTCCTACTATAGTTGGGAGTAATAAAATAATATCACTAACTGTATTGGGAAAAAATTAAACAAGTATTAATCTTGTAGAGAGGAAAAAAACTGTCATTAACTGCAGTCATGATTATCTGTCAGGAAAACCCAAGAGAATCCCTTCAAAGCTACTAGAAATAATACAAAAGTAAAATAAGACTGAAATAAAAAATACCATCTCCCAGTAGAGCAGTAAAAGACTCATCGGAAAAAAAATGCTGTGAAAAATAGAGCCCACTCATAATAGCAACAAAAATCATTAAACAGCAGTGTAACAAAATGAGATGTTTAGTGAAACTTCATGAAACCGTATATAGCATGTGATCTGAAAATTGAACATACTGTAGTACTGAATAGGATACTACATAAAACTCTTAACTTTTCACCACTCAAAAATATTTCAAATAAAATTATCATAGAACTTAAGAACATATTTCTAGAAAATTTTTTTTTTTTTGAGAGAGAGGTTTTTGCTATAGGGCGCGTGCGCTCACCAGACAGAGACAGAGAGACAGAAAGTGAGAAATCCCCCCTCCCCAGGTGGATGGCCATGCCACAATCCCCTCTCCTCCACTCTCCTCTCGGGATCTTGGGCACTCACGCACACGCGCCTGGCATGAGTTTTTAAGCCACCGGGTCCGGGACGCGAACCGCGGTCGACTACATGGGAGTCCAGTTACATAGCCATTACGCTAACTGCTGGTCTTGATATTTCTAAACTTTTTACATAAGAGAAAATGCAGAAAAATATAGAAAATTTTGGCTAAGAACAGGATGGAAAATGGTTTGGTATAACTGATATTCTCATGTCAACAATCTAGTATTATATAGCAATAGGTCACTAGAACACAATAAAAAAAATCCAGAAATAAACATATATCTATATGAGAATTACACATATGGTAAGGTTTCATTTGACGTAAGTGTGGATTGTGTTAAGGTTGAGTATTTTTTCCTTTTTTTAGTTTTTGTCACAGGGTACTTGTGCTTGCCAGAGACAGAGAGGTAGGGTGTGAAGTGATCCACTTGGGGAGATAGTACCTTCTCCTCCAGTCTCCTCTTGGGATTTTGGGCATGCACTCACATGTGCCCACGTAATTTTTTTTTTTTTTCTGCCATAGGGCTCGTGCACTCGCCAGGAAGACAGAGAGAGACAGAGAGACAGAAAGTGAGAAATCACCCCCAGGGGGTATGGCCACGTCGAAATCCCTTCTCCTCCATTCTCCTCTTGGGATTTTGGGTACGCACGCACATGCACTCGGTGTGAGTTTAAGTCACTGGGTCCAGGACTCAAACCACGGTTGACTACATGGGAGTCCAGTGACATAGCCGTTACCCTAACTGCTGGTACCAGCCCATGTAATTTTCAAGTGGCCAGTTCGTGGACTTGAACCACCCAGTGGGACAACAGGATCCAGTTCCTTAACCTCCACACCACTTGCGGGCCCCCAAGGGTGAAGTTGTAAACAAGTTGTGGAAAATTGATCATTTACTAGATTAGCAAAAGACCAGAGGAAAAGAAATACTTTTGAAGAGATCTCACAAATTAATGGGAAAAAGGCAAATAACCCAATCGAGAAATAAAAATAGGTAATTCCAAGAAACACAAATGGCTACTAAACATAAGAAAAAGGAAATTCCCAATCAGCCTTATTAGCCATTAGGAAAGTGTAATCATTAACATGAGGTATCTCTCGTCCATCATAATAGCAGAACATGGAATGTTCAGGATTATAGGGAGTAACGGTAAACAGATTTTTGTAGACAGTGTTGATAATAGTGTAAATTAGTGTATTCTTGAATGAAGGATATTTAGAGATGTTTTATTAACATTTGAAGTGCGCACACTTTTATCATGGAAAGTAACTCATTTCATAGGGATGCCAGCAATTTATATAGATATTTTTTATTGGCAACATTGCAGAAGAGATTCAAATCACCCAGAAGGGCATAAGAAAACATGATTCTGGATAGGGTCCATTAACCATATTCATAAAAACAGTTTTCGAAGATTTATTACATCACGTGGCTGCAGTCATCTTGCCGAATACTTGAAAGTAGTGGTGTGTCTCAAGTCAAAGGCTAACTTCCAAGGTAAAAAGAACACAGCTCTGGCTACATTTTGGGTTACTATTTTGAGCTGTGTAAAATTCTTTTGTCCGAGGAAGAAGAGGCTTTTAGAAAGCCTCATCTTCTTTGAGCTTAAAGGGACTTTGAAGTAATGCTAAAACATTTATAACTTCAGTCATACTTCATTAACTTCTGTCCACATTCTTTAATCCAGCAGTCCTATCTTCAATCGTCTAATTTAGAGAAATACTCCCATGCAAAGAGACATGCACAAGGACATTTATTTGTGGCATTGTTTTTAATAGTGAAAAAAACTGAAAACAACATCTTAAGTAGGAAATGATTCAATAAAACTATCATGTCCATATTATGGAATACTATGTAGCAGTTAAAAGAACGAGGTAGATGTACATATATATATATACTAATATGGAAAAATTTTCAAGATACACTTTTAGTGAAAAAGGCAAGTTACAGAATAATACATAATGTACAATCCCATTTTCATGAAAATGAAACAAAATAAAATCTTTATGGAAATGTGTATGTAAAAAATGTTTCTTAGAACTAGAAATTGTAGTGACCAGCTAAACGTTTCTCCTATAGCAAGGAAGATGGTATCCACTCTTAAATAAGTTTCTTGGTTTTCCTTAAAAATTGTTTCTGTAAAGGAAATATAGTCATGTATTACATTTAAAAAAATGGGAAGTGTTGAAAATATTTATGTTTATATTGATTGATTGTGTATATGTAAAATGTTTATCAATGCTTAAACTTTATATATATATATATTCATTCGATATAGTTTGTCACTTTACATCAACCATAAGATAACTTGAACAATGTTCGCCTAAATTATGTGAATTTTTAAGTGTTGCAATGTTCGAATTTGAAAAGATAGTTCAATTTTCATTTCAATTTCATACAATAATATGGAGGCACAGTCTAAGATCAATTTTAGAAAAGACTATTCCAATTAGCAAATTTAGTAAGTTTCATTATGGAAATTCCCAGAGGCAAGCTCTGGCATTTAATGATTAGAAAAGGAACAAGTAAGTATTGCCTGCAAAATGAATCAATAGGAAAGTAAATTCCACTGTCTGATATAAAATAACCTTTATGTTAAGCAAAAAGCATGGAGTTAATTAGAGGAGGTATATGTATCAGGGTACTTCAAAATGTTCCTGGATAAATGGAATTAAACTGAATTTAGGTATGAAAAAATTTTTGTAATTCATGCATAGTTTCTGTAGTATATGTTTTCATGAACTTTTTGAAGGCCCCTCATTTAAGTGTCACTTCATAATGTACACTGTGAAAATATATGGCATGAGAATGATTATGACGCAAATAGAAAAATACAGTGAGAATTCTTGTAAGTCTCTTAAAATTCACTTATGAATCATAGTTATAGAAACTCTTCTAAAGATTTTAGCAAGATCGCTTCCTATTTTGTGCTCTGTGACTACATCAAACTAAAGCAAATAGGTAAGTCAAAGAATAAAGGTCACGCAAACCTATGTGTGTTCCACTAAGTACACAAACCAAGCACGTCCATGAATGAATCACACAAGAATTACAAGTGTCCGCTGAAGGTTCCAGTCCTATAACCCACCTTACTGACGTTTTCCTTATGCTACAGCTCTAATAGGTAAGTGCTGTTAGAGTTGGCATAGCTATCATTAGCTTGACCACAAACAAATGAGAATGTAAGTTATAAAGAATTACACCAAAGTTCATGGAAGATAAAGGTCTGTCACCACCTGGAGGGTCTATTCCTGAGCACTTGATGTTTTTCTTCTACGGTGGTGAGATGTTCCATAATGAATCCCTCGGCTGCTCACTGTAAACGGTTGCCATGCTACGCGTTTCAATGGTGAAAGTACAAGAACAAATACATACTTTTGTACTGTTGTTCTCTGTGAAACTCCAGTACTTGGGATTTTTGCAACATTCAAAGCAGCTCAAGTAGAAAAGAAAAAGTTCAAACCAGTCACCAGATCCAAAATTAGCATTTTATTCAGAACGCTGGGGTCAGAGGTGTATCATTTATATTCTGGTACACAATACAGGGGCAAAGCTGTTGTCAGAAGTTTCTCCAGTTTAAAAGCTTTTTTTTTTTTTCAATTTTTTTTTAAAAACACACACTTAGTAGTGCCACCAGTGTCAGGCCACCCCTTTCTTTCCTTTTGACTTTTTTTTTTTTTTTGGTACAAATTATGTAAAACATTTGTGCTAAGAACTTTTCTCCCTCCCCAAACAAAAGAGAAAATAAAAAATAAAAAAAAAATTAAAAAATTGGAAATTGAGTATTCTAACTACAGCTCAACAATTGAATCAAATGTCACTTTTGTTTGTAAATACTTTATCCATAACGAAAGATATAAACATGCAAAAAACCTGAATCCATAGTCCAAATAATACATACACATGTTCTGAAGTTTCTGCACTTCTCCATAGACTATGCTGATAAAACATTATGTACACATACCATTTTTACAGTGAAGTGGAAAAAATACAGTAAATAAAAAAGTGTACATGGATTAAGACCAAAATGTGTCTAACATTCTAGTTTATGAAAAAATTCAATTTTGCTACAAATTGGTGATATGAAAACTCCCTTTATTTGCAACCAGCTGCGTAAGGTTTAAGATTTTTAGTGAAAAAAAAAAAAATCTAAAGTCTAAAACTAGAAGTAATGTACATTTTCCAGTCTCATGGTCTCATCCCCCAGGATAACAAAATCTCTCCATGAGTTCTTTTGTTTCTTTGTTTGTTTAACTCTGTATTTTAATAAAAGCAAATGCAATGTAACAAAAGCGTGTTGAAGCATATCATGGTTTAACTTACTGCTCCCACCACAAAATATTTTGTCTTTTACTTATCATTTCAGAAATCAGTACCATTAAAGCCTTAAACATAAAACTAATTCCAATCTGAAAAAGGTACAAAAAGGCACATAAAATCCCAGTGCTTCTGTACTGTAAAATTCAAGTGTAACTGAGCTCAGTGTTTTTCCAAACAGTATTGGATCACTGATATTCCCTCTGAGCCCAAATTGGTTTGCAGCCTATGCCAAAGCCTCCAGCAAGCACTGTGCTAGTAGACTACAAAGTTAAAGCCTAGCTTCTGTATGCTTTTTGGGAATATCAGTTGAAATTGTTTGTACTTGTCCAAAAACCAAGTTCACCCTGAAGTTCAGTCATCACCTCCACCATACATGTCAGCCAGTTTCTTGAACCGTGGCCCCCAGTCGTTCAGGTAATCATAGTCCTGCTCACCACCACTACTTGAGGAATTAAGGGAGCTCAAAGACCCGGCGGTGGAGCCACTGCCTTCATAGTCAAAGACTAAGAGGGAGTCATATGGCGGAGCTGTGGGATCATTGTCAGCAGCTTTAAGGCCCTACAATTTGGAAAGACAAAAAAAAAAAAAAAGAAAGAATTAAGAGAGGTTTACAATTTACAAAACCACAGGAAGATCCTACGGACTCCATGGGATCAAACACTTGTTTGCACATTTCCATTTGCCATTCAAAACATTGCGACACACAGAAATTGGGATTATTACCATTTGAAAATTAGGCAAAAACTAACCTACTCCGTTCTTCTGCATAGAAACATCCCTAAGGAGCCTCGTTAATGGAGGCCAAGACATATGATGGGGGCAGAGGTTAATTGGAGAATGTTTGACAGGGGACAGAAATCAAAAGCCAAATGCTTGAAGCAGAGAAAGGAAGATCTTAAACAACACAGTAAATAGGACAGCAGTGCTCGATTTTATAAACACATCGCATTGAAATAAAGCTAAATTATACCATGGTAATTACTATAAAATCATCTCGTTCATTCACTGATTTATTCAACAAACATTTGTGGAATTAACTCCTACTCTGGCCAGCAAGTTCAGTAAGTGTGACTGTGTAACAGCCCATGCATGACCAGTTGTGAATGAATAACTATGGGTGAAAAGAGGTTACATGAAATAATACAGAGGGCTGTGACACTATGTGACACGTGGACTCTAATCAGAGTCGGAGTAAGTGGATCTTGACTACAAACAGTTTGAACAGAAATGGTCTATATAAAACAAGGAAAAGGAGATATAAATGACTGTCATATGGTCCTTGAAACTCTGCAAGTATACAATCTAGCATAACAAGCATTACTACAACACAATGCAAATAATAGGTAAGTAACACAACAATTAAACAATTAAGTCTAAGCCAAAATGATGAGGATGATAAATTCAGAATAGCATTAACTGCAAGGAATTCATATACCTTGCAACATGTTTGCAAGTACCAAAGATCTAATGAACTGGAAGATGATCATGGAGTGACCAGGCCCTGTAGAGGAGGCTCATCTCTCTAATGTGTGCATGCACACACTCTATCTTGAATAAATATATGTATGTATATATATATATATATATATATACATATATATATATATACACACACACACACACACGTATGTATATATAAAAAATGAAGAGCTAGGAGGTCAAGAAGGAAATAGTATTTTATTTGCCCTAATTTTAAATGATATTAAAGAAATACAATGTGAAATTAATTGATAAATTGTGACCAGGTACTTTTAAAAATACAGGTGACTTCTAGCCCCTATAAACCCTGCAGCAGGCATGATCCAGTATCTGTATATAGTATAAAGACAGAAGAGGAAATTCTGCCAATCTAAAGTAACATGGATGTTTGGCTCTTAAGTTTTCTTCTTTTACATTAAAAAATATACCAGAAAATGATTATCATCTTCTATTTCTTTAATTCTTGCTAAAAGATGCTTTTTAATGTACAACTGAAGACTCTTGACCTAATTCTTAACTATGCTCTACAAAAGTTTAGTTTTTTTTGTCTTTTAGAGTCTTTTTCTTTTTCCTGTTTTTTCTTGGAGGGAAGGGGGAGTCTGTTTTGTTTTGTTTTTTTGATTTGCCAGAGAGTACATGTACTCAAGGGACACTTTAATAGTAGGCCCTCAATATTTTCCCAATCCCATTCTAGTACTCCAAGATAAACCAAATTATTATTTCCAAATAATCACTCTCTCTTCCCCCAACTCTGCTTTTCAAATGCTGGTAGGCTTATGATGGTCTCACTTATCCAAGATGTGGTACAGACTGCCCTATATGAGAGATCAATCCCTCCAATACATACACATTTTATGGGCATGAATATGCAGTGTTTTTATGAGCAGATATGCATTTTTCTTTCCAATGCATGAAGGAGGAATAGGGGGGAAAAGCATCAAATTTAAGGTCAAAGTCAGCATGTAATAGTGGTGAGGAGATCAGACTCTGAGTTGATACCTCTGATTATAGTATTAGCTGTGGGATCTCAGCATTTTCTCATCTGCAACATTAACAACAATAAAATTATTATGAAGACCAACTGAAGATAATGCATTCGAGGCTCTCCACAGTGTCTGACATTTGTAGATCTCAATGAATATTAGTTAGTGTTTCTTTAAAACTATGAAGTTTGGAGAAAAACTTCCAGCTTTGGAATTTTAAAACATTTTCAAAAAAATGGGAAGGCACACTATTTTAAGAACAAAGTGGTAGCTGCTTGACTCCAATTAAAAGTAACAGAGAAAAGTAGACACTACCCATTTTCCCAACTCTAGGTATCTCTTGCCAAAATCCTACCTACTTAATTAAGCACACTTTTCTTTAGAGCATGTTATACAATTTGTAATTCAGAGAAAGTCTAGATAAAATGAAACAAATCTTCAGTAAACTTCTCAACATATAAAACATAAGTAATTTTAGATAGGGCTTTATCTTATTTTTAGAATAAGCTACAAGGCAATTCTGCTAGGACGAAGAGCCATAACCTATAATTTCTTAAAATGCATGACTTCTTTCTGTGGTAGACTATGTTACTGTCCTTAGTGACCCACAAACCTTTTTCCGTAGGGGATGACATGCCCACACTACCACGAGTGCCTCTCTGGAGTCAAATTTACTTCCCTAACCTCACTGTCAGGCTTGGCTACATGATCGGCCTTGCCCAGTGAAATGTGAGCAGCAGGGAAGAGCAGAGCTGCTCTGAGTCCTATCTGTGTTTCTACCTGCTCCTTGCTCCTGCTCCCTCTGTTAGAATGGCTGGCCTGGATGAAGATTTCCTTCTGCTAGAGCCTAACATGGTAGAGATGACATGTGAATCAGGACTGCTGGTGGCCTAGAGCTGACCTAAAACTGGAGCAAGAAGTAAATTTTGGTATTGTAAGCTAATGATACTTGGAGTTGTTAGTTACAGTAGGCTTTAGAGAACAAATACTCCAAATGCACACTTACTCATTTTATTGTATTGTATTTTTAAAATTCAATTCAAGACTTATTTGTCAAGTATCTATTATGATAATGTATTTTACTTAGTGGTAGAAACTCAGCTATTAAGAAGCTAGATCAGGGGCCTAGTAGTTGGTGCGGTGGCTAAGGTGTAGGACTCCCACAGCAGGCAGCTTGAAAATCATGCTGTGTGTGCACGCGTACATGTGTGGCCAAAATCACAGGAGGAAAATGGAGAAGGGATTGCAGCATGGCCTTCCCACCATGCCCAGGGGGTAGGGGGGCTGATTTCTCAATTTCTCTGTGTGTGTCTCTCTGTCTCTGTTAGGTAAGTGTGCATACCTTATGGCAAAACTATTTTTTAAAAAGCAGCTAAAATGAATGCTTGTCCTGATAAATTTTATATTTCACAATGTGGAATACAAATTTGCATGCACCCCTTCTTCCCTTTTCTGTATAAAATAGGTAATTGATTCCTTAAGTTCAACACTGTTTAATTTGGAGCCACACAAATTCTGGACCCAAAAAGATCTAAAGGAAAATTATGAAAAGTCAGGGAGATTCTTGATAAGGAGGATAAAGTCTCTATAGACTAATGTTACATTTTCATTATGAAAACTGCTTCATAATACAGACAGCAAAGACAATGGCTAAGATCACTTTATTCAGGTCACTTACTTTATCACAATTTGATACTTAAGTGAAAATACACAGAAATTCCCACCCAATCCTTACAGTGTCAGCACTAACGTGGAACCATGGAAAGGTCAAGGCTAAAATGAGCTTCAAAGAGTGTCTGGATTCAAATTAAATTGATGCCTGTTTGACCAAAGAATAAACACTAGAAGTTGCCTGGACTTTTCTGGTAGGTTAAAAAACAGCAAGGCCCTACACCAAATGTACAAGCCACCTACTTTAAATTCCTTAAAATATAACACTATACATAATCTACACCCACTGATATGTGGGATTCATCTGCCTTAACCACCAGTATTCCACAGACTGGCCTAGATAGCACTGATTCATAGTCAAGAATAAATGTGATCCTTCTGAATGAGATACTAAATAAATTATTGGAAAACCTTTGGTAATTCTAAAAAAAAAAAATCACAGTCAAGTTCTGAGAAATTCAAAGTATCAGTAATGCAACTAGAGTGAATGCAGAGAAGAAATCCAGTGGGAAATCCAGTGGGCAACAGAACCTTCTGGCCCTTCCTTATGTGACATAGAAATGGACCAACACATGTGAAGTGTAATGTACTATTTCCAAATTTACCAACTAACTGCATGTGTTTCTCTAGGTTTGATTAAATCTAGCAAAGTATGCTTTTGTTTTGCTTTTTCTGAAAGGGTTCATCTTGAACTATGGATAAACCTGCACTATTGATGTATCAAAACAGTCATGACACATTTTTGCCTAGAAAAACACAAAAATATGTCATGACTTTTCCGATACCCCAATATTTTCTGAAGTTTGAAGCTCCTGTGCAAAATAAAAGAGCTATGGCTCTGACTGAATTCTTGCTAAGCCTGTATTTACAGACTTCGGATCCCTATGCTTTATGGGTGGAAACACACTTTTATTGTGACTATAAAAACCTCCATTCTTCACTGAGGAGCACATGAGGGATATAAGAGAGAGGTCCTATTGATTCTCCTGTCACATTCTGTCTTCTGCAGCCTTCGTGCCACCGCTTTAGTTTAGGTCCTTACTATATCCTGTCAGGACCAGAGCAAAGCTTCTCTAACTGGTGTTCCTGTCTCCTGAACTATTTCTGCTTCTTTCCTAGCAGCTTCTATTGGTTTCTCTATATTCCCTTTTCTTTTGATATCACTTTCCAAGTAAAACATTCAGACTGTCCTCTATGACCTATAGCCATGTTTCCTAAATAAGGAAGGAGTTTCCCAGGGGTATGCAAGATGATTTTTGATTGGCGCACTGGCACCCTAAAACATTTCCCTTTGTTTAGGAAAGTTATTAGGAAATGATTAAAAGTTTAAGTAAATAATAAGTGTGTAAAAATGAAAAAAACAAAAACAGGTGTTAACTAAAATGCAGAATATTTGGGTAACCTATAAGATAAAGTAAAAACTCT